AGGAAGGCCTGGCGCAATATGGTTCATGGGGTCACGAAGAGTCGGACATGACTTAACGACTAAACAACAACTGTATTGTCTGTTTGGAGGGAAGTGGACTAACAAAATGGCAGCTATTTCCCAACCAGTAGAGTAACCAAACGGATGGATAACAAAATGGCGGCTATTTCCCAACCAGTAGAGTTACCAAACGGATGGATAACAAAATGGCGGCTATTTCCCAACCAGGAGAGTAACCAAACGGATGGATAACAAAATGGCGGCTATTTCCCAACCAGGAGAGTAACCAAATGGACAGATGGATAAGGAAGAGAGGCCGGATCTGATCTGTCACTCCCAGAGTCAGTTCAAACTGAGTGCTGCCATCCGTCTAATTATATCTTCATTTAATTGCGGCAGGGAAAAAGTGTCTGATCGTGGCTATTTTTTAAAGCTGGGGTGCAACATTTTCATTGGATTGAGAGCCATGCTAGGCCTTGGAAAAGCACACCCTCCCAAAAGTAGGTGGAGCCGGGATAAAAAGGGCAGGGCCTGGATAAACCCCATACCTATTTTATATTTTCACAGATATTAAATCTAGTCAGTTATGAACATAGAGAACTAGTGCATCACGAAGGACTGTGATAAAACCATTTTATCTGATGTGCATGTTTCTTATGCAGAAGCGTGTCTGAAAAAGGGAGACAGTTTAATAGGGCTTAATACCGATGTTCGGTATTCAATGTAAAAAGCTGCTTCGGGTGGAGATGGCCCTTAGTTTTGCAGAGGGGGAAGGAAGCACTGTAGCAGGAAGACGTTGTGGAACGATGTTTAATTGACTGCTTAAAAATTGAGTTCTAACAATGTGCATGAATATTACAGTGTTGGTATCATAGAACAATATTGTAATTTTAATTGAGTTTAATTGTTCTGTAAACCGCCCAGAGTTATTTCAACGAGATGGGCAGTGACAAATTTAATATATAAAATAAAATAAAAAAATAAATAATAAAATCTTAATTGCAGTGGATTATTGTTTTTTATTTTCTTTCTGAAGAACTAGCCTGACCTAGAGTACCATATGGAACAAGCTGAAGAACACTGGAGGGACTGTAATTCTCACCCAATTTGAAACAGACATTGTTTATGAATCCCCAAGGGTTAAAATCCAGAACTTGGCTAGTGAATTGAAGACTTGGATTGCAACATGTTGAAGAAAATCCAATTTACCTTGGCACTCCTGACCTATGTTCTGGAGGGCAGGACTTTGCTCCATCGGAGACCTGGGAAAGAACGCCATCAAACCTTGGGGAAACGCAATGCCTTCATGGCTAGAAAAAGGAAATTAACAGCAGTTTAAAAAATGCTGCCTGTTAAGCCATCCATTCTGAACTTTGCTCTTCCTTCTTGGTTTAGAAGATAAAACAGCCAACAGACTCTCTTCTTGTCTTTTGATCGTATAGATCAGGGTTCCTCAACCTTGGCAACTTTAAGACGGGTGGACTTCAACTCTCCCAGCCAGCCTTGCCAGACTGGACTACAATTCCCATCATTGGCAATAGCTGTTGGAGTCCAAGAGGACCAGAACGCCACAGGATCACCTCCTGTCCCTTACAGCAGAGTTCCTCAACTTTAAGAAGGGTGGACTTCAACTCCCAGAATTTCCCAGTTGCCGAGGTTGAGGAACCGTGGTTTAGAACTAAAGTCCCTTCCGTGCCTTTCCCAACCGCCCCACAATCTCTCACATACAGCCTGCCACAAAATAGTCATTTCTCAAATAAATGGGGAAAAAATCCAACTAAAGAGAGGCCCAGCTCACTTCTTTCCTTGGCTTCTGACACTCTGGACGAAATTTTTAATCCTGAGTGGGGGAGGAAGCCTTTTTAAAAAAATAAACTAAAAAAAAATGCAAATGGCCAAATGTTCGTGAGAATTCATGAGAGAACACAAGTACCTTGTAAGGCTAGGTCAGAGCGTGATGGCGTAGCTATTCTTAATTACAGATCTATAGAAATGGAAAAGCATTTAATTCAGTGCTCCCCAATCTGTGCAGCTTTGAGATGGGTGGACTTCAACTCTCAGAATTCTCAGCAATGGCCATGGTGGCAAGGGAATTCTGGGAGCTGGTCCACACATTGGCTTCTGTTGCCACACAGTCTTGTGTATCCTTCCTCTGAGTTTAATACAATTCGCTCCTTGGAAGCCCTGCTGCATCTTTGATGATCCAGAGCTTACCGGACACGTCTGTCCTTCCTCCGTTCCTGCTCCTGGATCCTTCCTCGGAGTTTGGGATCCAGCTGGGGATGAAAATGCCTCTGAAGGTGGAAAAAAGAGAAGGAGAGAGATTCAGAGAAAATGCAACAGCACACATCAACATTTATTGGTTAGATTTATATCCTGCCTTTTGTGAAGGTGCTTAGCGCAGCCTACGTAGCCCTCCCTCCTCCTGTTTTTCCCCACAACAACAGCCCTACAAGGTAGGCTGGAATGGAAAAGAGAAAGTGAGGGAGGGAGACAGGCTGGGCCAAAGTTACCCAGTGGGTGCTGGCCCTGAATGCGGGTTTCCCTGGCACCAGTGAACACCTTCATCTTCCATGATCCCCAGCTAGAGCGATGTGATCCAACACTGCCCGAGATTTGGCTGCCAGGAGCAGTTCTCCTGAGCATACGCCGAGCGCTTTTTGCTCTCCAGGACCCAAAGCTCCTGTGCTACCTTGGTGGATTTAGGCTCCCCTCCTGCTCTGAAAGGGGCTCCCAACACGCGGGCTGCGAAGGAGGGGGGCTGCA